GGTCCTCCTGGGGGTCTCCGTCTCGCCTCTGGAATAACCTTCCCCCTGATATTCGCGCAGCCCCCTCGCTGGGTATTTTCAAAAAGCAACTAAAAACATTCATGTTTCAGCAGGCCTTCCCCCCCCCAGTTAATTCCTGACTCCTCTTTCCTTTTCTCCCCTCGTGTTTTATCCAATTGTTGAAAGTTCTCTCTTTGTAAAATGGTTTTTATTATTGTTGTCCCCTCTGTTGTGAGCCGCCTAGAGTGGTCAACCGACTAGATAGGCGGGATATAAATAAAATAAATAAATAAATTAATGGCCCTTTGCCCTGACATCCTGGTTTTTCTTTGGACCAGGTGCTTGTCTAATACTTTTGGCCATACACAGCAGTCCTCCAGTCCTCAGGAAAACATAGGTGTTCCCCTTGCCCAGCCTCCGAGGATAGCCAGAAGTCTTGAGTTGGACCTGTGGGCAGTAAAACATTTTCAGGGCTCTGATTCACAGCAGGAATGGGGGGGGCGTGAGAAGAGGTGAGCGGGTGTGGAGCAGGTGGAGGCGAGCCAAACTCTTGGGAAAAGGCTGCTGTCATTCCTCATCCCCTTCTTGCTTCTCTCGGCTGCAGGAAGACGCGGCGTTCCCTTTCTGAGTCTGGGACCACGGAGTCGTCCAAGGCCTCCCATCCGCTGCCTCGTAAGATGGAGTCCCTGGAGAGTCTCTATTTCACACCCATTCCCACCCGCACCCGGTCCAAGCTGGAGAACAGTGTGGGCTCCGTGAGCGACGTTTCCTTCGAGTCAGGGCGGAAAAGCGTCTCCGGCCGCCGGCGCACCACACAGGTCATCAACATCACCATGACCAAAGTAATGTGGGGGCTGCCCTGGGAGGGAAGCAGAGGTTGGTGTCCAGCCGGAGGCCATCTGGCGGGTGCCCAGGGCCACGCCATGCACAGATTTTCCCTTCAGAAAGGGGAATCTGTGGCATGTTGGGGGCATTCGGAGAAAGAATCCCCGTGGCCCGGGCGTGGGGTGGTCTCCGCAGAACAAGGGATGTGCAAAGAGCAGAGCTCCCGATTCCACATCGACTTCAAAGTGTTGATGCTTACGTATAAAGCCCTAAACGGTTTAGGGCCTCGATATTTGGCGGAACGCCTTCTACCACCACGATCTACCCGTGTCACTCGCGCGAGCCAGGAGGTGAGGCTGAGGAGCCT